ACAGAAGAATCTTGTAAGGATGCTGCCTGAAAAAATCTGATTCATATCAATGACTGCTGTTAACATTCTACTAATTTTAATTCAAAAGTTTCTTAGTATTTCAATGTTTTTCATGTATAAAACGGCGACTACCATGGGTGTATGAAGGCGGATAGTTTTGGCAAATATTGTTTCTGTGCAAAGTTAAAATGGATATTTTCAGTCTCACTTGACTTTTCTGAAGAGGCGTAACCTTAATCAAAATGTTCATTTTTGTTCCGACCATTGAAAATGGGGAGGAACTTGGTATTCGGGTGTGTTTTAGTTTTTTTTTTTGCTTTTTCACGGAAAATCAGATACTGCAAATAATGATCGGACTGGGTTAAGTGATATATCATATTAAAGTTCTTTCAATCGTGATTTCACTGTGTTGAGAAAAACCGGTTTGATTTTTGGCCTATTTTCGAGCTAATAAAGTGACCGTGGTGTAGGCTAACAATAGCATATTTAAACATAATTTAAGCCGTAAAAACTTACTTTTACTCAAATAAAGGTCGCTTTTGGAGTTTTTAGCGCAATTTTGGGAGTCAAAATCTTGAATATTCAAAACATTGCTGCAAAGCTTCAAAACATTGCTGGAAAATTCAAAACCTTGCTGCAAAAGTTTTTTCAATTATTTTTTTTTTCGTTTTTCTAGTCATTTTTCTTCAAAATCTGTTTTACAATTGACCTATTTTACTATGACCCTGAATTAGGCCAAAGTTCTGTTTTTTACTTCAGATCTTTTTATCACAACATGCAGAAAAAAGCGACACCAATTTGAAAAAAAAAATTTTTTTTGTTTTTTTTAAGACAATGGTCGGAACATTCTGTGCTACTTGCATCACCGGCTATTCTTGTTCTCTTTTGCCTCAGGCCCGAAATTTCTTACTACCGTGGTGCTTGCATCCGTGGGGGAGATAAAAAATAATCATCCTATCTTTTTTTTGCCGTACCCGGTCCAACATTGAGGAAGCAGATGACATTTGGGCTCCTCCAACCGTTACCAAAGTGGGATTGATTCGAACCCATGTCTGTGTTAAAGTTCATGAGTCTTACCCACTCGGACACGGCTGTTCATCGGCTAACCGAAACTTTCATCGTCCTTTTTTTCTTATCGACTCTCTTTTTTTTGCTTTTCACTCAATGTGTTCTTCTGTCCTGGTCTTAATCGACGTACGTGTACTAGGGAAAATTAGATTTTTTACGGAAAAGAATTGAAACCGTAAAAGTATTTTGCTCAAATTTTTGAAGGTTTGCTTATTTTTTTAAGGCTCGAATCGCTGCCTCCAGCTGCTGTTGATTTCAGTTGTCTTCGTGTTGATCTTGGCTTTAAGTGCCAGTAAATGCAGTGAGGACAGTTGATTTTTATTCGTGTTTTCAGGTAAAAACTTTAAAAGCTGTTCACGCTCAAATTTGATTTTTCGAGGTTCGAGTTTTGATTTTAATTTGTTAAATTAAATTCAAATTCATTTGCTAAAAAGAAGGCAATTGACGCTCTCCAATTGCGAAAGTGCAAATGGCACGATAAAACCCTATGACTTATAGTTTTGAAATGGGTTTAGTTTTCAGATTTTCCAGCCGATTAAGAGCAATTGTTTTTTGATTTAGTTTTCTCAATTTAGGTTAATTTAATTAAAAAACTGCCAATCTTCTCAAAGTAGCTTTAAAATCGTATAATTTCTTATCCGGAATTCGAAAAATAAAAATAATCAAAAAATATGTTAATAATTTTTTCCGTTTCTTTGAGTTCATTGCAGCTTTTTCAACTTTATTTTGTTTTGATTTGTTCACTGTATAAAAATTGATCCTATGTGTGCGTGGGAAAAGAAGGATTCGTTTTGCCGAAAGTTTCAGTAAACATACTTTTGTGCACAATGGTTTCTGCCTCCTCATTGTCTAACTAGACTTATTTAGTTACGCTTTCTAATTTGTATGATGCATGAGAACAGTGTAACCAACGCCCTGAGATGGCCAGAAAATTAGAAGATTCATTATTTGAAAATGAAAACAAAATTTCGATTTCTGGTCAATCATCTACTCCTTCTGCTTCGTCGACAGCTCGATATTTTGAAAATTATAATAGAAGATTTTCAACGGTGAAATCATTTGAGGCAACTGTTATATTTTGCTCTCTGACTTTGTACATGACGCTGGGGTGGGGTGGGGTGGGTTGGGTTTGGGGAGAAAATTTGATATAGATCGGCCCTTTTTTGGTCGACCAAATTGATTATCTAAGCGTTCACAAATCAGTTGGGTGCTACACTTTGCAATCGGGTACTACACTTTTTGTAACGTAAAGAACTGTGTTCACAGATTTCAGCGTGTATGCAGCTCACGGCATGCATGCTGTATGTGCGGCAATTTGCAGCAGCATATTTTAAAGTTTGGTCTATTGTTCCTCTTGTGCATACTTATTAAGTGTTTTTTTCAACTAATTCGTAGTTAAAATTTTTTTAATGATTTTTCTTTGGTATTTTTTGAGTTTTCAACTTCGTCGCTTTCGGTCGATTTTTTTGTCGGCCCAGTTTCTGCATTGTTTTTTTTTTCAGTCAACTACATCGATCATTTGAATTTTATCTACGGAGATCAGAAAGCTTAATAATTTTTCGAATTTTTAATGAACAATTTTTTGACCAAATTTATCGCCTTTAATGCTCACTTTTTTCATTAAGTTGATATTTTTTTCCTTCATTTATTAAACACGTTCTGTCGTGTTTAAACTATTTTTTTTCTGCTTTGTCTACGAAAGAATGTGGCGAGTGTAGAATTTGGTTCTTTCTAGCTGATAATTTTGAAAAATGGAGAATTATAGTGTTTTTTATTTCATTAACGGGCCTATTTTTGTTGCAATCGTTTTTATAGACTTTTCATATTTGATAAGTTTGATGTCTTTGGGATGTTTTTCTAGGTTTTCTGCAAGTTGTTTTTTTGTGAGAATTTTTAAATTGTTTTGATTTTTTCGTTTTTCAGGTTCATTTTTTTTACTTGAATCTTAGTTTATTGCAAGCAATGGATAGGGACTTTTCTTTTCCCCAAATTTGCCTGTAGGACATGCAGGTTATTGGGTTGTATGTGGGGTACGTTTTTGAATTAAATTAAGAGTTTCATGATCATTTGACCGAGTTTTTTATCGTTTCCATCTATATATTATGAGAGAGAAACGAATGGACTTTGTGTAGCCCAAATCCTTCATATGTTTTAGGTAATCGATTTCTATAAGAATAGAAAAAAGATATTTCTTCATTTTTTAGCCAACGATTTCTTCAAAACATTTTTCTGATTTCTCGTTTGAAAGCTATTTGTATCGTAAGTAAGGCGAAGGTCAGCTTCGCCTCAATGTTATAAATACCTTATTCTAACCCTAGCGATAAGCGAGGATATTGCCATTTGGTATCTATTTGACTTTTTCCCGTGAATAACTCTGTTCGCAGAATGATCAAAATTCGAAATGGTATTAAATTCAAATTCATAATAAATTCAGTTCATAATAATTTAAAGTTTTGTTGAGTTTTCGGCACACTTGGTCTGGAACGGCAAAGGTCCTGGATTCGAATCTTACAGTACCTGTTCTTTTTGCAAACGGCAAATATTCCATTTCAAAAAAAATGTCGGCCAATTATTTGTCTGTTTGTTTTTGTCGGCTTAGTTGCCACATCGTAAAATCGTTTCTTCTCATTGTACGCAAGTTACATGGTAGTTGTTTTCAGTGTTTTTTTTCTGCTGTTTGAATTTTTACTAACCTTGACTTCACATTTTTCTCTTTTTTTTTTGTTTTTTTGATTGCTTAAAATGCTCACTGGATCGCTCAAATTGCTAAAATCTTTTTAGACATAATAGTTGAAATGTCTATATCTATAGTTGGAGACTTCTTGTTATGTAATTTGTTTGCAGATGTCATATTTATTTATTTCATGTTGAAGTAAATCACTTTGGTCGAGTCCACCCATAGATCGGTGCTACTATTAAAAAGAGTTAAAGAGTTGGGGACACCTCGCGGTGCTAGCTATTGGGTGGCAAGCCACATATTGTTTGTGGGGAAATCTGAGGATGGAACTCAGAAGATTTCTTCTTCACCAGAGGCGAAGTTTCTCAAAGGACGGAAGTGTAATGTCGATGACATTATCAATGTCGAACTTTCTATATCTATAGTTCAATAGTTTATTTCATGTAATATACTTCAAAGTTGGTACTTTCTATACCTATAGTTGAAGATTTCATGTTGTGTAATATATCTGCAGAAAATGTTGCATAATTAAGTGGAAATCACTTCGGATCGGAGGAGTGCTAGTATTATAAAGATAATTTGAGTTATTTCTAACATTATTTTTTTTAAAGAAAAGAACAACTCAAGAGCCTTACCGCACAGCTATATGATCCGCTGACTGCGAATGAAAATGATTGCTTATTATTTAGTAATCAACTAAGGGAATTTTCTTTTCTTTAGGTCCTGTTCTTTGTTTCATTGAAGGCCAATAAATGTTTATGTTACTATAATCTTTTTGTGTTTTGACTTAGTATGCTCGACTGTTAAAATCAATCCCCAAGCTGAGTTAGAAAAACCCTCTGCTGCCATGAAAATTTCAAATCGCCTTGAAACTTCGCGCTTCTATTCTATCGTCAAAAGTGGATTCCTTTTTAGATCTGAAAAAAGTATCCTTTGATCAGTTGCTCGTGTTAGGGAAGGTTTAATCCCTTAAATAGGGAAGGTTTAATTGTAAAAGATTAATAGATAAAGGAGAGCCTAGCAACAAAAATATTATGGCCCCTTTCTCTGTGATTTGACCATTCTGGAGGGCTATATATTGCTGGGTATTAGGGGGAGAGATGGCCTGGTTTCTTGGGCAGTTAGTTAAAATGAAAAATACCCAATGAAACTGGCTCTTATAACTTCGAAGAAACAATTTTTGATCAAATCAGTTGTTTTTTCTTGTTTTGTGAGATCAGTTACAATTTTGAGACTTTGTTGGTGGTTATTTCAGGGTTCCGAGTTAACGCAGGGAAGCTTAATGCATTTTCTGGACGACGTGAAGAGTGGAAAAGTAGCTGCGAGGGGAGGCACCTCTCTCTGGAGGCGTTTCAGAAGAGCCATGCACGAATTGTCCAAGGCCATGTTGTAAGTATTGTCTCTTGGCTCTTTCCCCATTATACCCCCCACCAGCCTAGTAACAAAAATTTAAAAGCTGTCCGCACTTTGATTTTACTAATAAGGGGGCCTTATTTATTTGGGAGGGGGGGCTATAATGGGCCCAGAAAAATAGCTAAAGAAATCATATAAATCTTAACCCGGGGCACAGCAACGGTTCTCCGTCAAGAGCTGAACAGCTCGTATGTTGGTCCTTTTCCTTGTGGATAAATCGTCTTTGACGATACGTTTCGAAAGCTTAAGTGTAATCACCATTATCACCATCCAGTTGAGTGGTGCTGCTACCCTCTTTCAACGGCAACGTCTATTTTTGATGAAAAAATTAAGAATGAAATTTTTTATCCGCTATTAAAATGAACTATCTTCGAGTTGCTCAGTTCCTTGAGAAGAAAAATTATTAATAGTACGAATGAGGATTTTTATTTCCATCAGTCATTAAGTAATGAATAACAAAACTATTCAACTCAAACCTGAAAATCATTTTGAGGATATTGGAACCAGATCTAAACTGGAATTTATTATTGGATATTATTCTGATATTTTATCTCTATAAAATTTTGAACCAATCATGCTCCATCAAACTAACAGCCCAATTGTTTGTAAGGGCTGAAACTACTTGTAGTTTCAACACCAGAACAATTTGAATTACACTTAGAATACAGTTGTTCTCATTCTGGAACTAACACGCGTAAACCGGTGTACACTATATCTATTGAGACTAGGAGATATAAGAGTAAGATTAAGATTGGTATTAGACTAAGAAATTGCACGAGTCTATCCGGCCGAAAATAAGATAGCATGTCGAGCAGACGGTGTACCTTATCTGAAATTACTCTATGAGTACAGTACATAATACATAACTCAATATCGTACGAAGGTTTTGATCAAAAATTGCGTTTCTCAGGCTCGCGCCCACCTTTAGTTCATTAGTTAAAATTGGCGCTTCGTGCCTATGACGCTTTTAGATAAATTTAGTACTGACCAACCGAAAATGGATGTCGTTAGATAGTGCCCAGGGGTCCCTCTGGGTGGTGAGGGGATCGAATCCTTGAAGGGGAACCGCATGATACATTGTTTGGGCGGGGATATGTTGTGTTACTTACAATTGGCGGAGCTAGCGAGACATCATGACAGGATTAAACAAAGACCGCAAAACCAATAGTATATTACCGCTTGATTCTTTTGCTGTAAAATTAGGAATCATATTTGTTTGTTTTTGTATAATCAAGGGTGAATTTACACTTGTAATCGGTGGATATTCAACAATCCGCCATATTTACAAGCCACCATATCTTGAAGCCGAAATTACATCAAAATTACATAACAATTGCATAACAGCAGTATCTATATGTTGTTATGTTGCGTAACATTGTTTATTTTCAGCTTGTGTGAATGATAATCTTATTTTCGGTTTGTTGGCCCTTCGGCTTGTTAGCCTATCGCTTTGTAATTCTTATCAAGTCTGAGATACGGAGATCAGATGTGTTTCAGTGACCTGTTCTCTGTGAGTGTCATTCTGGCCATGTTGGTGCTGTCAGTGCCCCTCATAGTCGTCTCCTGTCTCTGCTACCTCCTCTGTACTATGGACACCACTGAGTCAGACGCACAATCGGGCGACGAAGATGAAGACGATGAAGATCGGTAAATGCGACTCTTCATTCTAGCGCACCGCCGATAAATATTAGGCCCCAAAATATAAACGATCGATATTTCAGGGGCTTAATTTTCCTATAATGGAACGGATAGTCATGAATCAGGGTATCATGATTTTTGTTGCAATTAAATTCGGCTTTGTTAAATTGTGCAATTTAGAAGACAATTCTAATTTAGTCAAATGCATAGTCTTCTGAGGTTTTCTTTTTTTTATGTGAGCGGCGTGCGCTCGTTTTTAGTCCCCTTCCTTGTTGAAAAATGATTTTGACAATTCTACTTGTTCCGATCGCTTGAAGACTTTACCTAACACTCACAAATTGTGTTATATTTTATCATAAAGTGCCGCTCATAAATTGTTCCTGAAGTTCCAATAGTTTTAAGGCTATATATTTTGAAATTCGAAAGTTGAAGTTTTTTTCTCAAAAAAAAAGTGTTTTTTTTGTGTTTCTTTGCGTTCATTGACTCTTTTCTAACCGTATGCGGGCTATATATTTTTTATGTCAATAGCACAGTTATTTAGGGGCAGTCGACTTGGATACATGAGGCCTATGGTTCAATTCCCGTAGAGGGGTTTCTTTTTAAAACGTTAATGTTTTTAATTTCTTACTTTTTTCTTCATTTTTGCCTCTTTATCCTTGCGATTAGCATGTTGTTGCAAACCGGGTACTAGACTTTTTTTTCGCAAAGAACTTTGTTCAAAAGATTTCGTACGTTAAAATATGTTTTACATATTTACACTAAATATGTAAATATGTTTTACATATTTACACTGAGCGTAGTGTATAATAATGGCTCTTCTTTTTTTTTTCAACCTAACTCGCAAATTTGCTATAATTCGCAAATTTGCTTTCATCAAGATCTGTAGCATTAGAAATTTCAAGGTATCTGTTCTCTGCTTTATTTGTTGCTAGTGTTTAACGGTTGATAAGCGTTAGAGATGAGAAGGGTGTGCTTGAGTCTCTCAATTTCGAGGTCGCAGGTTAAAATCCGACTCATTGCAAAAATTTTATAATTCGAGATTGATTTCTTTTTGAGACGACCAATTCTTTTTGTTAGAATCCTGTTCTTTCTTTAAATTTTTTGTAATTCAGCTTTTTGAATTTTTTTGCTCTTCGATTAACATGAACGGAATTATTACGCATAATATTTTATTGCTCGTGAATATCAAGCATTCTTAATGCGGAGTTTTTCTTGTAAACAATTTATACAACAAAATTACTGACCTCTTTTTAGTTTTGCTCTTTCGTCAACCAGGAGACTTGTTTTGAGCATGTCTTAATTTCACACTAGGCGACTTGTTTTGAGCATGTCTTAGTTTTGAGCATGTCTTTGTTTTTAAATTAACCAACTCCGGTTCCGTATAATTTCCGTTTTTTCTCGTGTTTTTTTGTTTAATCGGATAGAAGATTTTTTTTTCGATTTATACTTAATCGGCTTAGTGGCATCATATTGCGTCGTTGCATGAGCGAAAGAAGTTCTCCATGCATCTTGTGAGGAGATACATGCTTTTGGTTCTTGTTCAACAAAAAAAATTGCTAACTATGCTTTGGTTCATGTTCAACAAAGTTTTTTTTTCGAAATTTAAGAACCCTTTTTTCGGTCGGAATAATGAAGTTGCACAAGATCAGAATTCTATTTTATGTTTATTGTCCACACATGTACAGTGCTCATTTGAATTATCCGGTCAAAACCAATAAAGCCCAAAACTTTTCACCAGATTTGTTTTTGGACCCGAAACGCCGCTCGAGTAATCGGTCATTTCTTGGTCGCTCCTAAACTAAATTATGTCAATGTGAGCGTCTTGCTCATCTTAACACAATTTAAGCAGGATACAATATCAAAATAATTTATCATATAGTAGAAACATTTTTTTGGCTGTCATTCATTAAAATGCATATTCACACATTTTCCCACACTTTTTACCCTTCTTGAGCTGTTGGACTGAGTAAGACGCTCATTTTGATGCAATTCATTCTCATGCAGTTAGCTGTTAACGGCGAGTCGCGTTTGGTTCCTTCAATACAACCTGTGTATATTTTTGTTTTTTAATTGGTTTTAGACGTCCGGGTTCGATTGAAGATGGAAGGGGACAGTATGGTGCTGTAGATGGAGAACACGAAGGACTGAGACACAGAGCAGCAACACAGAATACATCGGATGATGCGGATGTTGAGATATAGATAAATACTACTTGAAATGTTTGAATAATGGGTTCCCAACATTAAGTTCCAAGCACAAAATCTCTTTCGAATGACGGAAGTTGCGCAATTTATGCACGGAAACGAATTTTGACTTGTAATTCAGTTCCAAAAATACAAGCCAAAAACGCACTGTTGGTGTCAGATAATGCATATATCTCGATTGCTCTGCTATTTTGAGCTCTCATGTTTGCAGCTATTTTAAAAAGGGCTTTTGAGTAATTTCACGAGTTGGAACTTAAATTTGACAGGAATTGGTTACAGCATAGTCATAGTTGATCCGCTGAGTTCCTGATTTGTGCAGTTTTTGAAATGAGTGATACAGATATTAGAAATTACTGAGCGCATCGACCACTCTCAATTCGAATTTTCTAGAAAAAATGCTTTGATTTTTTTCTTTCATTTTTATAGGTATGGAGTACCTGGGTGAAGCTAATGGCAATATGATCAGACCAAGCTCGCTCGAACATAAAATTTTTCCAGACCGCCATTTTTTCCACACGAGTTGGTGTTATGGTCGCCGAATATTAAATGAATTTCAGTCTGATTGTCGAGCTATGGTCGAATTTGGATCTAGTATTTTGTGTAGATGCTCAACATTTTTTTTCGTCAACTGTTAGCTGCAAAAATTGTCACTAGATTCTCTCAAGAGGCAGTAGCCAGCAGAAGGTAAACGGTTACTCTCCGAAGACCAAAAATTTCCCCTTCTGAGATAGCTACCAGTGAGGCAGCGAGAGAAAAATGATACAGCAACGTATACACATTAAACTAGTTATTACAAATATCATTAAACAAAATATCAAAGTATTAAGCGATCGCAAATTGAATGTTTTTCAAGGCATTTAACTAATAGAAAGTGTTTTTCAAGGCATTTAACTTTTTCGTGAGACAGTATAATAATAATAATAATACAGAATTTAGAGAGTCTCAAGGGTTTTCACCCATTTTTCAGTTCATCTTCAGTTCAGTTTTATTTTACTGAGAGGATTGCAGTTGCCACATCTGCATATTACTCTCCAAGTACATTTATTTTCTTCGGTGTATTGTTTAGTGAAAAAGTTCCAGTAAATGTTCTGAATAGTAGCTTCATTTAGAAATTTCTCGAAACTTTCATAAACACGAAGAACATAGTTCTAGAGTAGTTTCGTCCTTCGAAAGAAGTTTTCGTTGGTTTTATTTAGTCGCGGTTTCGATAACTTGAATTCACCTCGATTGCTCTGTCGAGTAGTATCGCATATTGTCTCATTTTCAGTTGAACTTTCAACATCAAATTCACCTGTTTTAATAGATAAAAGCATTAAGAGATCATGCATTTCAACATACAGGCTTAACGGAAGAATATGCAATTTAATTAACCGATTTCAACAGCTTAAGTCAGAACCTATTATCCATTTTGTTGCATGATGTTGAACTTTTTCGAATTCAGTTAAATTTCCTGTATTTGGCAACCAGGTCTGAGAAGCATATACTGCAATTGGGACAAGGTATCCAGAGTATGCATTTAATTTGATTAGTTACAATTTGATGTTATATTTCGCTTTATTTGTTGGAATAAGGCGCCCATTGCTTTGTTCGATCTGCGTTTGCAATTTTCATTCCAACTTAGGTTTTGCTGCACTATGAGCCCTATGTCACGTTGCGACTGTACGGGGGTGAGTTTGGGATTGCATAAGTGTGCTTCAAGGTTTCCTTTGATGTTAAGAATATGCGACTTTTTTGTGTTTGGTAGCATCATATTTGTATTAAGCCAGGCTTGGATGTTATCGGTCGCCTTGTTCATCGCTACTTGATTTGTTACGATTACTTTGAAATCATCAGCATACCCGAAACTGTCCATATCGGACATACACTCTGGAAGATCATTAATAAATAGCAGAAAGAGGAGGGGACCCAGAATTGATCCTTGGGAACACCGCTGGTTACATTTCTAAAGGTTGATTTTGCGCCGCTTATTTGCACGTATTGCTTGCGTTGGCTTATGTTTAGAAGTCCTAAGATGTTTCCACCAATTCCATGAGACCTTAATTTGCTAACTAGCACACTTTGCGGTACTGTCAAACGCTTTAGCAAAGTCGAGATAAAGAACACTTAACTCATTGACAGATTCTAGATCATTGCATTTGTATATTTTGTCGAGAAAGTATATTAGTTGCAGTGTCGCCGATCGTCTTTTTCTGAAGCCGCATTGACTAGTGTGGAATTTTGAATGAAAGAAACAATAAATTTTATCAAAAAGGAAATTTCCAAGACTTTTGAGCAACAACATAGGAGGCTGATGGGACGGTAGCAGGTTACATCAGCTTTGTTGCCCTCTTTGAATATTGGTAATATTTGGCATTTTTTCCAGTAGCTGGGGTAACATTGCTTGTTTAGACATGTTTGAGAGATCAGTTTTAGCGATTTACACAGGGTTTTTTGACACTTTTTTTAAGAGTGTGTTTCCAATTTTATCGGGTTCGGTTGATTTGTCACGATTAAGTTCAAACAATATGTCGCTTATTTGTTCTTCAGTGTAGTTAGCTGTGTTTAGTTAGCTGTGTTATTTGGTTCATATCCAGGCTGCATATTAGATTTACTGAAGACCGACGCGAAGCATTGATTGAAAACTTCAGCCTTTTCAACATTTATTGATGCTACTGTCTTATCAACATTTAGCTGTGTTTAGTTAGCTGTGTTATTTGGTTCATATCCAGGCTGCATATTAGATTTACTGAAGACCGACGCGAAGCATTGATTGAAAACTTCAGCCTTTTCAACATTTATTGATGCTACTGTCTTATCAAAATTTACTGTTGGGGGAATTGAGGGTGTTTTTCGTATACATTTCAAGTATTTCTGTATTTTACTACACGTTCTTCCTTCAAATACTGATTTTTCATATTCAGCGAAGTCTTTCTCGGATTCAAGTTTGATTTCAAGGCGTTCAAGTTTAATCAATTTGCTAAGAGTTACACTTTTTCGTGTTTTCAGCTTATTCATAAGATTTGATGTATCATTGGATATCCAAGGGGGTAGCTGGGATCTATGTTTGGTAATTCTTGGTATATGTTTATCTATTTTCTTCCACAACCATTTGTACCATTGCTTTAACATTTCTTCTACAATACTATAGCAATACGGTTGAAAGGGTTCCTGGAGGATACTTTTATTAAGTTCGCCCCAGTCAGCCTTGTTGAAAGCGTTTTTTATATCAGTTACTGCAAATTGCGTTTCCTCCTTTTCGAGGTCGATAGTTGTAAAATTGGTGTATGGTCGGAAAAACTTTTGTCGTTTTGCATAAGATCATTTTGTAAACTATTATCATTTTCGCAGTTGACCATGGAATCTAGATTATTGGCTAGGACGACGTTTAATTGATCAGTCGATTGATTACTGAAGTTTCTTTCTATAAGTGCATCAATTATTTGTTTTTCGTAATCAAGATTTGATGACATAGTTAACCAGTTAGTTTGTGATTGATTGAAGTCACCTGTTAGAATGATCAGATTACATTGACTCTCCTTTGCCTTAAGCTGAATATTTTCTAATAAGGTTTTCAAATCCTTAATTTCCCATTGGTAGACACTTGGGTACGGAGCATTGTATATGCAACAAAGCAAAATTACGCTGTCTTTTTTAGTTTTAGTTTTGATGGTTATACAATCGGAATGTTCATTTTGTAATGAGATATGTTCGTGAAGAATGTCGTTTTTGATTGCAATTAGTACTCCACCATGTTTTGTTTTACGATCATCATTTGTCATTCGGTTTTTTCTATATACCTGATAGCTACTTAGGAAAAGGGCTGCTGATGGGATATCACAAGTTAACCAAGTTTCTGTTAAGCATAAAATGTCGTAATCGTGTGTATTTAGCGTATTTGAAAACTTTGTTCTACTGTTTATATCTAAGCTTCGAGTCTTAAAAGTCATAATTGAGATTGTTGCTAGTCATTTTTCGGTTTCTGAGTCACTTGTCTCATCGCCGTAAGTGCTTTTTTCTAATGGTATCCATTTTTTGTTTTGCAATATCTCAATTATGAGATTTTTTACCCGAATATCTATCAATGTTAATTGATTTTCATCACTGTCGATTAACTCTCTGCGTTTTTTCAGGCATTCGTTTTGCTTTTTGGTATCCGTACTATTTAGTTCAGAATTTACATAGACGGGTTTTTGATAGGGATGGTAATCTTTAAGCTTGTGTGCCGCCCTCAGTATAAGGTCTCGGCTGATTGGGTTTTCAGTATTTATCAGGAGTGTTCTTGGTTGTTGTTTACTTGCGTCATATTTACCGAGTCTTTGCGCTTTAGTAAGTTTTTTATCTTCGACGTTAAGATGTTCAAGAAGCTTTTCTACTTCGGCTAAATCAGCATGTAATCTATCATCAGCCGAGCTTGAGCTTGATTCTGGTATTCCTCGTATATATACTCCTAGCGAAAACTGATTTTCCAAGATTCACTGTTTCTAAGGATTGTTTGTATGTTTTGGTATCTTTTTTCAAGTTAATGACTTCCGATTGAACATTTGTAATGATGTTATTTGACTTTTCAATTTTATCATTTAGGGTTTTCATTTGTTCCTGAAGTTTTTTCATTTGATTATTTGTTTCGTTTTGAAACTTTTTCAGATTTTCGTCTATTTTGTTTCCAACTTTGATTCCAAGTTTGACAAAAAATCTTGTTTTTTCGGTTTGCAACTATTGCAGATGTGGATAAGATTGTCTCTACGTTTTATGAGAACTTCTATAATATTCCTTTCAAACTCAGTACACTCTGTTGTTAAATGAAGTGTTTTATTACAAATGCAACAAACGAGTTTGTTGTCATTTTTAACTTTCCTGTTGAACGTAGCGCAGTTATCACGCGTCATTTCGCTTGCTTGAGTTCGATTGGGGCAATTGGATAGTTCGTTAGAATTGGGGTGGAGAACTTAAACTTAAATTGATTTAAACTTAGCCGGTGGCCCCTGAGGGGACCTTTGGAAAGTTTAAACCAGAGGAGACAACTAACAAATTCTACCTGTGAGCCCCTGAAGGGACCTTTGGTAGATTAAGTTAGTCTGTAACGGACACGTAAAGATAAGGATAGAAAAAAGAAAGGATTGATGTATACTTGTGCTACCAGTTTCTGCAGGTGCACTGACAGTTGTTGGTAGGGCACTCTTGTTCAGTAAGGTGTCCGTTGTCGTTCAAATGCTTCGAGTACTTCTTATACAGAATTTTCCTCTTGATGAGATTTTTCAGGTTGTTCAGACCGTCTTCGTTTAGATGGTAGTGATCGTTCGTAAAATATCTGTTACCCGTAATAAAATTCGCAACGTTTCTGAATTTCCACTTGACCTCGACCTTCTTGTTAGATTTCTTTTCGGCTTTGGCGAGAAGTAAATCGTTTCCAGATTTTGATCTCGTTTTGTTTTCGTCACGCTCCGGTACACCGATGACGAATACGTTGGAAGCTCGTTCAGAAAGGAA